ACCACACAGGGTGAGATCTTGCGTGGAGCCCCAGATCGAGGGAGATTATCAGTGGTCTTGTATGTCTTCCATTTCCTAATAATTGCTCCCACAGTTGATTTCTTCAAACCAAGCTGCTTACCTATTGCAGATTCAGTCTTCCCAGCCTGGTGCAGGTCTACAATTTTGTTTCTGGTGTCCTTTGACAGCTCTTTGGTCTTGGCCATAGTGGAGTTTGGAGTGTGACTGTTTGAGGTTGTGGACAGGTGTCTTTTATACTGATAACAAGTTCAAACAGGTGCCATTAATACAGGTAACGAGTGGAGGACAGAGGAGCCTCTTAAAGAAGAAGTTACAGGTTTGTGAGAGCCAGAAATCTTGCTTGTTTGTAGGTGACCAAATACTTATTTTCCACCATAATTTGCTAATAAATTCATTAAAAATCCTACAATGTGATTTTCTGCATTTTTTTTCCTCAATTTGTCTGTCATAGTTGACGTGTACCTATGATGAAAATTACAGGCCTCTCATCTTTTTAAGTGGGAGAACTTGCACAATTGGTGGCTGACTAAACACTTTTTTTCCCCCACTGTATATTACATATTGGATCACTAAAAATTAAAAAAATTACATTACCATGTAGTTTACCAATAAAATGGTCTGATGGTGATGTGGATATACTCTGAATATGTATCCCAAATGAAATAAATTCTCACTCCAATACATTTTAATATAAAGTTAGCAAAAATAGATAAGATCTTGCTACCTGTCAATTTGTGGAAAATTCACCTTGATTAGCTCTTTAGTATTATCCCAGTTTACCTATTTGCTTATGGTATTGCCTACGCCTAGCGAACAGTTTTAATTATGAGAAGAAAATATTCCATTTTATTTGTAATGGCAAGCCAGACAAAATTAAAACGGGCCTATTTATATAATGAATATGAATTTGGAGGACAGAAATTATTAAATATTAAAGCATTAGACGTATCACTAAAAGCTTCAGTAATGCAAAAGTTATACTTAAATCCGAACTGGTTCTCTAGCAAATTAGTAAGATTGTCTCACCCAATGTTCAAGAAAGGCCTTTTTCCCTTAATTCAGATTACAACCTCTCACTTTCAGTTATTTGAAAAGGAAATTATCTCCCAAATATCACTATTTCTAAAACAAGCCATAGAGAGTTGGTTGCAATTTCAATTTAATCCTCCAGAAACGACAGAACAAATATTACAACAAATATTGTGGTTAAACTCAAATATACTAATTGATAAAAATGTTTAAAAAAGGTATAATCTTCGTAAATGATTTTATCGGTAGGACTGGTGGAGTTGTCGCACATGCAGCTAACAAAAACATATGGAAATGTCTGGTCTACCCAAAATTACAACCAAATAATTGCAGCATTACCGCAAAAATGGAAGAGGAAAGTGGAAGGGGGAAAAGTAAGGAACTTGTCTGTCGGCCTTGCATTAAAAGAACATAATTGGTTAAAGAAAATTGTGATAAAAAGTATACCAGTTTCATTTAAGGACCAAAGGATTTACAGGCGTCCCATATAGATTGCAAAATAGTTGGGAAGAGATTTTTGACGTACCGATTCCATGGCATAGTGTTTATGAACTGATACGCAAAACGAAGCCGGATTCAAAACTTACAATTTTTCAATTTAAATTATATAAAATTCTTGCTACCAATAGAATGTTATTTATATGGGGGATACAATCTTCCCAGCTCTGCAGATTTTGCTGCGAAGAGACAGAATTATTAGATCATTTGTTTTGGTACTGTCCATTTGTAGCTTGTTTTTGGACACATGTACCTGGAGCTAACCCTGCACATAGCACTGCTGTGTGATCTGAAAAGTCATAGTCAATCAATCAATAATATAAATGTTTATTTTCAATTCACAATCTGTAGAAACAATGAGAATAGAAAGGTTCAGAATGTTTGTAAAACATCACAGTACAGTTGAAAAATATATGGCAAAAAGAAATCCAATAGGGATGGTGTTAAGAGATAGATGGGTGGTGTTGAATGGAGCTGAAGGATGGGACTAATAACAACAACTAATAACAACAAGATAACTAACGTAAAGCATACTGTGTCCATAATAAGTATATAGGTTATAGGTTGAGAGCTTTTGTGAAAGAGCACAGTTAGAAATATATGGCATATAGAAGCAAACCAGATGGACTTCAAAAGTAAAAACAAACCAAATATAATTATTGTAAAATGTGTCTGTGTCCATAAAATGTATATAGTATGCTGGAAGTAGAGGCCTAAGCATTGTTGTTCACTAGTTAACTCCAATTAGGGAAGGGGTGGTGGGGTTGGAAAGTAATGATGGGAAATAGAATTTAAAAAAGGATATGCATGTATGTATGTATATTTGCGAGAAAAAAACAACATTGGGGATTGGAAGTGATGCAGACAATTACATTGATGGAAGTTACAATCTATCTGAAATATTAAAGCTGATCTACCCCCTAAAAAATAACTTTTAAAAAGATATGATCAATACATGTTGATGATTTAAATCCTGTACTGTTTCTAACTACCCTGGTAGGTTGACTGATAACCTGAACCAGGTTGCAGGCACTGGTTACAGTTTGAAGCATTCTCTTGAGTGGGCAGCCTGATGAAAACCAGTCAATATTTAAAAATCACCCAGAAAGTATACCTCTCTGTTGATATCACATACATTATCAAGCATTTCACACCTTATCCAGATACTACCTGTTAGAACTTGGTGGTCTATAGCAGCTTCCCACCAGAATGGGCTTTAGGTGAGGCAGATGAACCTGTAGCCATATTACTTCAACAGTATTTAACATGAGATCCTCTCTAAACTTCACAGGAATGTGGTTCCGAATATAAACAGCAACACCTCTACCATTGGCATTTCTATGTTTCCTGTAAATGTTATAACCTTGTATTGCTACAACTGTATCATCAAAGGTATTATCTAAGTGAGTTTCAGAGAGTCAGAATATGAATGTCATCTGTTACTAGCAAATTATTGATTTCATGAACCTACATATGTTAACGTGGGCTATTTTGATCACTTTTCTTCTGGGATGCTTACTTGTTTTTATTTCTTTACTGGGAAGCTTAGCAGCAGTAGATGTGCTCATGTTCTTTATGTTAGTGCAGGGTGAGCTGCACACAGTGGCCTTCCTCCTCGGGCACACCGGCTCAGTGCTAACAGTATTAATCTGGTTCTTAGGCACATGATTACTGTGTACAATAGCTGTAGGGTCAGCAGAGGCATTCAGGGCAGTTAGAGGGACATAAATTAGGTTACTTATATTGTGTCTACCGATGCCCCTGATGTAATGTACATTTGCTGAAGTATTTTGACAACTCTGTGTCGCAATGGTAGGGATTAGCTGAGCTGGGCTTGGGTCATTGCTATGTCATTGTCTAATTGCAGCCTTATAATGCTGTGAAAGGATCCAGGAACCCAAATGAGCCTCCTTATAAAACGTGTTATGTTTCCAAAAGGTATCGAAATTCTCAACAAAAGTTATACCCATTGAGCTGCAATAATCACGTAGTCAGTTGTGAAGAGCAAGAATCGTGCTAAAGCGTTCAATGCCACAATTCAGAGAGGGCACAGGGCCAGATATTATGGGTTTTTTGTTAGTGTCTAGCAGAGAGTCAATCCAGTTTCAACTGTTCAGAGCTGCCCTTCATAATGTCATTAAAACCCACATGGACTACGATAGAATCGATTTCCGTGTGTCCTGACGTAGTACATTTGGGAGAAGCTAAGTAATGTAATTTACTCGAGCTCCGGGATAGGACATTGTTTTTGCACCAGGAACGGTCACATTTCTTACCACGGAGCTGCCCAAAATCACAGCTGGTGAGAAGGACGAGGAAATCCGCCCACTCCCACGCTTCACAGGATGCAGACCTCCGACAGATGGAGAAGCCCCCGCTCGATCCAGAGCAGGGACGGAAGGTTGCCGACATCGACTTTGAAATCGTAGTAGTAGGCACTGCGGCCTCAGACACCCCCAGCAACGAAGGTGCAGGAAGATCAGGCTCCAGGACGGCAAAACTATTTGTTGTTTGTATCCGCTCTGGGCTTCTCATTGGGAGTGTAGACTGCTTTGCGGGAGGTCGCTGTCTTCGGCTTCCACGGCTCGTGACATGCGACCATCGTTGATTGCCTTTCTCCTTATGATGTGCTCCTTCGACAGCGCTATCAGATGGGGGAGCTCCGCGCAGCACTGGCCAGTCGGATAAACGACAAGGTGGAGATGCATCCAACAAGCGCGAACGCCGTCCAGCCACCGGCGTAGAAAATGTAAACATTCCACTCTGCATTTTCCACAGTTTCTTACGTAGGCAGGTGACCTGCGTGATCAAGGAAGCCACCTCAAGACTATAATTCTCAGCAAGTAAACAATTGCCACATTGGAACTCCGAGTGATCCGATTTGTCCCGAAACAAAGCGTAATAGATACCGCTCCTACAGCGCTGGAACCGTTCATTTAGTTCTCCAGACAAAGAGGGTTCCGTTGCAAAACTCATCTGGTACCAACTTCGTTAGCTTGATGGCTAGTAGCTTAGAGTCTCTGTCAAGCAGGCTTAAACCTGTCTCTTAAACGGGATTCCGGGTAAGGATGCTTTAGTGAAAAAGAAGCGTTGGGTCACGTCAATTTTAAATTGGCTGAGACGGAATTTGTTACCGGATATAATTATTTGCTCAGCTGGTGTACTCAGCATCGTGGCTAATTTGGCCAGGTTGGCCTATTAGAAAAGCTAGCAGCTAGCCATTTTAGACCAAATGGTTAAACCATGGTCTAAGCAAATTTCACAAGTATGGCCCCCCATTGTTCAAGTTCATGCAAAACCAAAAACGGTAGTGCAGATAAAAGGATAAGGTATTAGAGTATGTACATGCTGTGCAATGTAGACAATAGGCTAACACCTATTTGAATACACCTCTTTATTAAAAAGCTCTTTATAGCATATACAGCTGGAAGGGAAATTATCTTCATGAAATATTAGTGAAATCCCTTATGTATCTGTAGTTTGTGTATTTCCGAGAGCTTCACGGTGACGTTGTACTCATAGCTTCCATTGTGTAGTCCAGTTCTGAGTTTTCTATTGGTTAGGGTTTCCCAGTAGTGGTGCCAGTTCCCATCTCTGTCTTCCCCAAATCCATACACATTCACCTGCATTGGAAATAAGTGTTTAGAGAGTTAGTTTAATAAATGTTTACCAAAAGGTTTTATTTATGGCAATGTGGTATATTGTGTACGCAGCCTATACACCTACATGATTTGGGCCAGTAATGTGTGACGATACCACATATTGTCAGAGCTATGCTATGTAAATCCATTAGGTGTCAGGGTTGGTTTCCTGCACTGCAATTGTGTGTAGTATACAGTGTGTATCATGTGTAGTACACAGTGTGTAGTATACAGTGTGTATTGTATACAGTGTGTATTGTGTGTAGTACACAGTGTGTATCGTGTGTAGTACACAGTGTGTAGGGAGGTGAGAAAGTACACTCCTATCTACATTCCTAGCAGAGCGTGTTGATATTTAGTATTTATTAGGATCCTCATTAGCTGCCTAATTGAAGATATTATTACTCTAATATTACTAATGTACAATATAAAATCCACAGTGCCTGCAGCTATGGAACCCTGACCTGTTCACCGGACGTGCTACCTTGTCCCAGACCTGCCATTTTCAACTCTCTCTCTCTCTCTCTCTCTCTACCGCACCTGGTATTTCAACCTCTAAATGCCCAGCTATGAAAAGCCAAGTGACATTTACTCTTGATGTACTGACCTGTTGCAACCTCTACAACCACTGTGATTATTATTTGACCCTGCTGGTCATCTATGAACATATTGGAGAAAAATCTGGCCTTAATGGCCATGTAGTGTTATAATCTCCACCCGGGACTGGCCACCCCTCAGAGCCTGGTTCCTCTCTAGGTTTCTGCCTTTCTAGGGAGTTTTTTCCTAGTCACCGTGCTTCTACATCTGCATTGCTTGCTGTTTGGGGTTTTAGGCTGGGTTTCTGTACATCTGCGGATGTAAAAAGGGCTTTATAAATAAAATGTGATTGATTGATTGATAACCACAACATTACTGCGTGTTAGAGTGTCTCTCTTTACAGCCCGCGTTGTGCCTTGAGGTGTTGTTGTATCTGTTGATATCTATCGGTCGTACCTCGTCACAGATGTGTAGGGCCAATATCAAAGCCATGAATCCGGTGGAGGGGTATTTTCCTTGATTGTCAAGCCAGGATTCATGAACATATTTCATAAACACAGGATTCAGAACCAATACCTGCATGGAATACATTGCACATTACATGTCTATCAACCTGATTGAATTAGAAAAATAGGAATGATGTCTATTGTGATGCATCAAATTTGAGAAGTAACTTTGTTAGATTGATATTGTGTCCGAGATCGGATGCAATTATGCACTTTTAATACACTCCCACTCTGATGCCGTCTCAAACTATGACTTGTAATGACAGATTTGCCCTTAGGCAAATAATAATACAAATGTCCCGTGTAGCTCAGTTGGTAGAGCACTACGCTTGCAACGCCAGGGTTGTGGGTTCGATTCCCACGGGGGACCAGTATGAAAATGTATGCACTCACGAACTAAGTTGCTCTGGATAAGAGCATCTGCTAAATGACTAAACATTTAAATTATGTCTGACATCACCACTTCCTTTGTTAGAAAACCACCTGTAAAAACATTGACCCCCCCCATATATTTAACTGTTTGTTTAAAAAAAGTGTTTTTATATTTACATGGCTCTGCCCATACCACACATCCTCAATTCCAAGAGACAGTATAAAAGATCATGAATTAGATGTCATTGACTCTGTAGCTGTATTATAACCATAATAAATTAACAAGGTGACTCACCAAATCTTTGTTGGCCTTTATCTTCTGTCTAAGAGGTAAATATGAGCTGTTGAATAAAATAAGACTTAATTTCATCTAGGAAGTGCTAGCTATGTTATCTTAGAAAAATGCATGGTGTTTCCCACTCCAGTCCCCCCCAACAGCACACATGTTTGTTGTAGCCCCTGGACAAGCACACCTGATTCAACTAATCATCAAGCCCTCAATTAGTTGAATCAGGTGTTTTTGTCTGGGGATACAAACATGTGCCGCTGGGGGAACTGGAGGACCGGTGTTGAGAAACACTGTTATAACTAATCAGAAGAGTCCACAATAAGTTGTTACTCACAAAGTGATGTTAGTCCCAGTGGTCACGGCGCCTGGTAGCCACTGAAGGTCGAGTGTCTTGAAAGGGATCAGCAGGAACCTAGTGGCGTTCTCCAGATCTATGGCACTCTCTGGGTACATGACGTGATACGTGGTCCGGTTCCCAACATCCTCCTCATAGCCAGAGGTAAGAGCCATGTTCATTCTGGACAACACAGCAGGAATTCATACCATGACTGCAATATTTCAAAGCTCATAGTGGCCGCATGGGTAGCGCCATTGAGGGCTCTCTTTATTTTAAGTAGTTGATTTCTTCTTCAACTTCTATGAGTTTATTGGCAGTCAGTAAACAAACAAATGGTGCATACCTCTATCTGGAGTGGTGCTGTGTGTACAGGCATAAAGCCAAGGTTGGTGATTTACTGCCACCTGCAGCTATGGAAGGTTTGCTCCTTTCTACTGGAGCGTACAGTCGTTCCCTACTTCCCACACATCTAAAAGCATTGGATTGGTGGAGGCCTGGGTTAGCTAGTGGGAGTTCCACCATATTTCTTATATAGTCATTTCCTTTCCAAATCAGGGAAGGGAAGTGAACAAGTGCACACTTTGAGCTAGTGGGGATAATTGGGACATAGCCGTTAATGAATTGGCTGATCCCTCCTGCTGACGTGGTTGGCAGGCACGTACACAGATAGGGTTCTACCTGTGCCTGAGGACCTGTCCCTTTTCCCTCCCACTTGCCAAGTGGCCTTTTGGGTGGTGGTATAAATTATATTGTTTTGTCATTGTTGTTCTGAACACACTGCCCCCCCCAAGTTGATGTGACATCTTCAAGTTCACCACCCCGACCCCTGGTCTGCCCTGTACGGAGCCAAACGTGCATGGTTTGAGATGCGGTCACCAGTTGAGTGTGTGTCGTAAGCTACCTAGTTTAAAATGTCAACAGTGCTGCCACAGCAGCATAACGTTTGATTTACATAATATTCGGCCTGGTTGGCTGATCGCCGACGCGCAGCAGAAAGACGGGCAGTTACCGGTGGGTGCCCTTTTTTTCCCCATTTTGAGCACCTGCCCCCTAAAAGGTCTGCGCACTGCCCTGCCGTATGGAATCCTGTGATCCTTCCTTAACCCATAGGAAGTCCCACCCAGTTGACTAATTCAAAATGGCATAAGTCTTCAATGGCACTGCCAATGCTAAACCAGGCTTTGTGGCAAGGGACGCCCTCTGTCAACACCCTCTGTTGGCCTACCTTATGATGACGTCACTGGAGTCGATGACGGCTCCATAGTGGGAGCGTTTGAGGTTCCCAGAGTTCCCCACCACAGCACAGGTCCCATGGCGCTCAGGGTAGAGGTCAGCATCGGGGATGACCTGGAACAACTTCTCCACCACCTCACTGAAGTTGGCTGTGCTACGGTCATTCTGCATTTTCTGGTGATAAGATGGTACTTTATTTGATTGCGCCAGCCAAGACATAAAACACCAATAAATACAGAACAATGGTCAAGCAGCACAAAGCAGATTACATCAGCCCAAACCCTCACACACTAGTCAAATCTGATGTACGCATATTGTGTGATTGTATATCATGTTTTCATGTTCACCTGCAGAGGGAAATGAGCTGTTAAATCTGGTGCAATGCATCATTTCTCAGTATACTGAGACTTATGTTTGGATTGGTCATTGTCCCTGTCCAGAAAAACAGGTTATTGTTGACTACAATAGCAATCAGTTAGTCAGTTGTCAGTGACCACGCTTGTATTGCAGCCTGTGAAGGAGCTGGCCTTACGCAATCACTTTAAAAGGCTTAAAAACAAACAGAAGTAAAGTGTGAAATAAAAGGCCAGGATAAACCAAGCAAAACCAGGCTTCATTCACACAGGCAGCCCAATTCTGATCTTTGTTCCACTGTGTAGTTTGACCAATAAAATCGGATAATTTCACATCAGATCTTTTTCGGCGCTAAACTGATTGGTCAAAAGACTAATTAGTAAAAAAAAAATATGAATTGGGCTGCCTTTCTAAATGCAGCCACCTTACACCCACAATGATCTGTCAAGCAATAACACACCAGTTCATTCAATAATTGGGTCAGAGGGACAGTGTTCAATTAACCAGCCAATCAGGATGCACACCCAATTAACAGGGAAGAGGCACAATTGACATTGTAGCTATAGTATTGCCTGGAATGATGAATGGTTAAAATGAAAGGAATTCTGCATACAACTTGTTTTGTCCAATAGATAAGCAATACATTAAAACAATGCCCTTGTAGTGAAGGGCTCACTCATTCACACAGCCTAAACCCAATCCAATAAAAGTTCATTCTGAATTAAACTCCCTCATATAAACACCTCATGAGAAAATAAACATGCAACAGTAGGCTATTAAAAAAGGTGCTTACCTTAAGAAAATAATGAACATTTCAATGTATAGTGGTAGTGAGTGTTTGGGACATTCATTGAGCAACAGGAACGTTAATAGGCTAATCTACATTGGAGGCTACTGTGACAGTTGATCAATCCCACTGGACAAAAACTGTTTGAATAAATGTTGTTTCCACATAATTTCAACAAAACAAATCTATATGATGACCTTGAATCAACATGGAAAATTGATTGGATTTGCATAAAGTCATTAATGTAAGGGAATGTCGTCTTCTTCACCCAACTTTTAACCTAAATCCAATGACATGGTTTAATGTATGGTTGATTTCACGTTAGTTGACAGCTCAACCAAAATGTAAATCAAAAGTTGATGTTGAAATGATGTCGGTGCCCAGTGGGGTTGTTCTTTACAGATGGGGTAAGCTAGTGCAATAAAGTTTTGAATAATCAATCATTTCCCGCCACAGGCTACTCTGGTGAGATGGGGTGGACGGTGTCTTATTTTTCTAATTGGTTCTCTTTTAACAGTTGACTCAACAAGCATAGTAGGCTGTTTGTTGTTGCTAGGGTCTGTGTATAGGCTATAAATTCAATAAATGATAGGCCTATTACTGAATGCATTGGACTTGCGCTATAAATGATTTTATTTATCCAATGTTTGTTATGCCTTTTTGTTTTAACATAATGGAAAATATATATGTTAATAAATAAAAAATATATAGCCTACCCGCCACCACGTTCTGGTATCATTGGAGAGTTTCTTGTTCTCTCTCGTCAGAAATGGTTTGATAGATCTGATGAAGCACTTCTGAAACCATGGGTCATCGTCCGGCTGTGGAGAGAAGATCCCGTCTAGCGGCCGAAGGGCATTTGTAACAAAATCCACAAGTGAATTGGAGGATTGCTGTCCAGAATAAAACACAACTATAGTAGTGAAGCAGAGTAGAACGGTGGTTAGAAAACCTTTTCTAATCCTGAAGATATTCATTTTGTGGGTGGCACAGAATCCTCACCACCTGTGAAAAGATCCATAATGTGAAAACGCCCCTAATATTAATGCTGCTTTCACAACATCTGGGAACTCTGAACTCTCTGACTCCCTAGCCTTCAACACAATGGGGAACTAGTCTTCTTCTTCTTCTTCTTCTTCTTCTTCAGTGGGGTTTATCGGCGGTTGGCATCCAACGGTATGGTGCATCACCGCCACCTACTAGACTGGAGTACAACTTCCTTATACTTTGCTTGAAAAAATTAATAAACAAATACCCTGCCATCTAACACTACACTCACAAAAAAATTTACAAAATAAAAAATAACACCACCCTACTCCACTATTTAAATCTATTTAGTCCTACCTCAGGCCAACAACCTGAAAGGATGTGACACTACTACTTAACACACCCTGTAACTCTTTTGATGTCAAGTCTCGCACACCCAAATACCTCTCTGCAGTTGCCAACACAACCTCAATTTTTGGCGACTTACGTTCCATCCCTGCAAGTACAGTTGATAACCATTGCTATAAATGCTAAAAATCCAATCTCACTGAAACATGTATCACTTGTTGGCCTATCCCTCTGTACTGGTACAGATCTACTACTCACACCATTCCTCTCAGGATCCCTCCCCCTTGACCCATTTTCCACTACTTTCTTCACTGCCTCAGCATATGACAACTTCTTCACTACTCTAACCCTGGAAACCTCAACCTGCCTCTCTCGCACGGGACATTTCTGTACCCCAGCCCCATGGGAACCCCTACAATTAACACATACCACCACTTTCCCCAATGCTACACATTCCTTTGTCTCATGCCCTTCTGCACACTTCTCACACCTAGGAACCTCCCTCCTACACACTGCTGCCACATGCCCATAAGCTTGACACCTGTAACAACGTAATGTATTCGGCACAAAAGCTTGTACAGAATAACTTATATATCCTAACATCACTTTGTCGGGCAAAGACTCAACATCAAAACTCAAAAGAACAGACAATGGCTCTTCTGTTTCACCACTTTCGCCACCCTGTCTGCGTCTCACCAAACGACGAGCATCACAAACACCGGGAATCTTCCTCTTCAGTTGGTCAACTTTTACATTTACCGCTACCCCAGTAATCTCTCCTTTCAATGGCGCCCTTTTCTTGAGAGCAAAACAATTCACATCTCTTGTCCCCATTCGTTTAACACGGAGCGCCTGCTCCCTCTGCAACACAAACAATTATCACCAGACCACTTCTGGTTACCCTCACCGATTCCACAGCACCCAACTCTGTTTTCACCCACCCTGAAACCACAAACGGATCAGCCAAAAAACGAGCTCCGACTGGGAAAATAAGTTTTGAACGGTCATCCAACTCAGAATTCCAAGTCAGGAACTCGGGCCTCTTTCTAGAGCTCCGACCTGAAGATCACTGACGTCATGATTCGACCTTGTTTTTTCCCCCTGAGTTACCAGTTGTCTTGAAAACACCATAAATCCAGAGAATGCCAGACTTTGATGACAAAACTTGCCCTCAAGAAGGACCGCTGCGCCACCTTCAAGTGAGCACAGCACAACAAGGTGAGTCCAAAACTTTCTTGCTTGTCCTAGAGAGATTTACACGGTTATCAAAACGTCACGCCAGGGTAAGCCTACACAAAACACAGCCCTTATTTTAAGTGTTTCTAAAATCCCTTATGGGAAAAATGAATGGTGGAAAAACGATTGGAACCATTTCACTCTTTGACCGCTAGATTTCATGGGTATTATGACTCATACTGTGGTACTCTATAGGCTTTGCTAAACGTAGCATGGCAGAGTTAGTGCCTACAAAAATACTATTAATATTGCTCTCTATTAGGCTACAGATAAGTTACAATGAACTTCACAGGGTGGTGAAAGTGCACGGTGATGAGCTAGATGCTGGGTTTCCAATAAATATCGAGGGTCTTATTCTGGTGACATGATGATCGATGCTTGGCTGCCGTTTGACAAATAAAAATTCTCACTCTTGTCCATAATCTCATCAACAAAAATAAACAATTTCAAAGATTTTACTGAGTTACGATTCATATAAGGAAATCAGATTTGAAATAAAATATTTAGGCCCTTATCTATGGATTTCACATGACTGGGAATACAGATATGCATCTATTGGTCACAGATACCTTTTTTTAAAAAGGTAGGGGCATGGATCAGAAAACCAGTCATTATCTGGTGTGGCAACAATTTGCGTCATGCAGCGCGACATGTCTCCTTTGCATAGAGTTGATCAGGCTGTTGATTGTGGCCTGTGGAATGTTGTCCCACTCCTCTTCAATGACTGTGCGAAGTTGCTGGATATTGTCAGGAACTGGAACACGCTGTCGTACACGTCAATCCAGAGCATCTCAAACATGCTCAATGGATGACATGTCTGGTGAGTATGCAGGCTATGGAAGAACTGGGACATTTTCAGCTTCAAGGAATTGTGTACAGATCCTTGCGACATCGGGCCGTTATATAAAGAAGCTTCAGTTCAAGTTGTTTTAATTCATTCACATGGCAGAATACAATTGAACTAATAGAAAAGGAAAAAAAATATATACAAAAACATACATTTAAGGAACTTTATTGTTGAGGCTGTTGGGAGTTGATGTTTAATAGGTGACTCATGAAGAGGATGTATCAGGAGGAAGTTCGTAATTAAGCATCCTGGTAGTGTCATCATCCATTTGGTGGACCACCATAGAGATGGATAGAGATCTCTACCTGGTAGTGGTAGGTGTCATCATCGATTTGGTGGGCCACCATAGATATGGATAGAGATCTCTACTTGGAAATAACTATTTTTTTTGTTTAGTTAATGAGTTGCAATAAAGACCTTGGTTGAAATTCTGTGGTGAAGTGGTACCGATATTGTGTCAAAAGTCGTGTTTACCCTACCCTACCATACAGTCAACTGTTTGAGACAAAAAACGACACTTTGGAGAGTTTAGGTCATGTGAGGCTACATTTCAGCTGTACTGTCGAAGTCGAGCCATGAAGATTTGCAACTTAACTTACAGATTGATGACGTTAGCAACATTGTAGCGTAGCAACTTAGGTTGTCATAATAAAGAAAAAATCCTTCAAAACGTCTACTTTCAAATTGCTGTTAGAAGAAGTTGCTGATGTGTATGCACACAAAGATTTGACGTTAAACATTTTAATGGACATGTAATGTAGATTTGATACACACACTGCTGTTATTAATTAATTTTGGGGAATGAAACTACTCCTTAACCCTAATTGCTCCTGTAAGTCGCTCTGGATAAGAGCGTCTGCTAAATGACTAAAATGTAAAATGTTTGTGCTCCTTTCTGTCAAAATACCATGCATGATAGGAGACAAATTGGACCGGTCTTTTACCTCAGTTTAGCTTCACTATGGAGCACCTATTGTGACGTCTCTTGTCATCGTACAGCAAGCCTACTGTACACATTGTTGTTAAAACGCAGCCCGACTGGTTTGCCTACTTTTCTTCATAGTTATAACTCAGTATTCTCAGCTTGATGGCAGTCTCACAATGCTTCTCCCTCTCCTCTCCTCTTTTCTGCTAAGGCTTGGCTTACCATATATTCAATATAACCATGACATCATAAAAATAATTTCTATCAACTGCTGTACTACTGCTATCCTTACTCACAGTCTCATTGAAATTACGTGGAAACAACGTTGATTCAACCAGTGTGTTCCCAGTGGGTAGATTGAGATTACGGTGCAGGTAGTAAAGGTCAACTGATTTAAATATTAGTGGAACTTGAAAAACATTGGATTTGGCAAAATATGCACCTCCCTTTTCAATTATGTGTGTGCTAGTTAGCTAACAAAAAAACCCATGTAGATAGACTATCAGGTGTGGTTTTAGTTGGACAAGGTAGTAAGGAGAGGGAAGACATGGTACAGTAGTTAACAACAGATCGTGTGTTCTTTATGTGAAGAGGGAGTTGGCTTCGTTTACACTGGAATGTGTTTCAAAGCTACTAAAACAGAATCTGTTTTGCTAATCTGATCTGACCACGGCTCAGCAGTTGTGACAGGGGGGAGGTGATAGACCTGGTGGAGTGGTGCCAGGAAAATAACCTCTCCCTCAACGTCAACAAAATGAAGTAGCTGATCGTGGACTACAGGAGACAGCAGAGAGAACAATGTGTATGGGTCATTGTGATGGCTGATTAAACCACCATTGCATGTTTTTTTTCCAGATTCCCAGGGTGGCAAATGTCTCCGCAGTGTTGCTTTCGCATTACCCTACCTGTTTGACAACATTCCTCTCTTCTACAAGGGTGAGTCATTACATTTCTACCCTCTGTGTGACAGACCAAACTTCTTCTGTGCCTGAGGAAAAGTTTAAAAAGTATATAACAGTGTTTGTCATATTGAAGTGTACTGTGTCAATGTTTGATTCATGTGATGTTTTTATAGTTTTTAGTCAGATCATGGGACTAGGGATGAAAATGAGTTGTAGCTGGTATTGTCTGAGATGTTGATTATTGTACCTGAGGTACGACTATATATTTTGAGACCTAGCAGGCTCTGTACACTTTGTTGTCTGAGATGTTGATTATTGTGCCTGAGGTACAATGAGACTTAGCAGACTCTGCTCACTCGGTTGTCAATGGTATAATTATGGCTGCGTGCATGTTCACTGAAATGCAGGTGTGCATTGAAGTATATATATATACTTGAACTCTGGTTCTGAACAGTTCTTAAATCCTGTACATACAATGCTATTCTGGTTCAACAGCCATGTGTACGACTGTGACAAGAGCCTATTCTACAGCCACGCTAACGCATTCTACAGCCACGCTAATGCATTCTACAGCCACACTAACGCATTCTACAGCCACGCTAACGCATTCTACAGCCACGCTAACGCATTCTACAGCCACGCTAACGCATTCTACAGCCACGCTAATGCATTCTACAGCCACGCTAATGCATTCTACAGCCACGCTAATGCATTCTACAGCCACGCTAATGCATTCTACAGCCACGCTAATGCATTGTACAGCCACGCTAACGCATTCTACAGCCACGCTAACGCATTCTACAGCCACGCTAATGCATTCTACAGCCACGGTAACGCATTCTACAGCCAC